TTTTTCATTATTAGCTTATTTATTATCATGTATAATTATTTTTATTCTATATCTTTATCATCACCTATTATACAAGAAGAAAGTGTGCAAATGTTTTGCCTGTTGCCCAGCCCTCACTGAATTATTCAATATAACACGTTTAAAGTAATTATTATTATAACAATTTTTATGTGTGTAATCTTTTGCAGTTTGCTTGATGAACATATTTATTTGTTGTTTTTCCCCGCAATATTAACTTGAATCAATTTATTAAAAAATATATAAATATGGTGTTCTCTATAAAGTGTTTTAAAAGCATATAAACAATATTTCATTTTCTCGGTTTGGAAATTTAACCTTTAGAGTATGGAAGTGTCATATTCATGTAAGGTTACTTATATTATTTTTTAGAAAAACACCTGGAATGGTGTGCCCCTTTTATTTAAAACTCTGATGAAATCTGATCGATTTTGAATTGGATTTGACGAGATGTTTACATAATTTGAAAATGTTTGCTTATCTAGGTGGATTTTACATTCTTTCATAATCGTAAGAACTTTCATAGACACTCCCCTTTTTACACCAAGTGTCATGTCACTTTCTATATTTGATTTTCTTTCTTGTTTGTAATAAACGTTAAAAGATTTAAGTGCATATATTCTTGAAGGTAAATCCGGGAGATTGATTTAGGATATTGACTTCTAGGTATTTAGATTCATTACTGACTCATATAAATGTGTGTGTATTAAATTTTTGTTTCATTTAAATGAATGGGAAGAAATTGAAGATGTTCAGTTCTAGAATATGTACAAAGAAAGTTACTTTGTAAGTTTTAGTTGGTCAAGTAAATTTCTGGCCTATACAGCATAAAAAAATGAGAAACCTCAGAAACACAGCAAAATTTAATGTCAAATCAGGAGCAATATTGTAATATCCTATACCTTACGTTTAGAATATATTTTAGAAAAAAACATTTCCACCATCAAAAAATCATTGAATAAAGTTAAGGTTGCAAAGGATAATACACCATGTTACGTACAAAAACAAAAATGATGAAAAAATGATAATAAATTGACAGAAATTGACAGCAAAATCAAATTAATAAAAATTATACAGCTGTAAATTCACATGCTCATATATGATTACTTTTGACTCAATGGATTCGCCTGTTTTTGGTTGTTTACAATTTTTTTTAATTTTGTGTGTTTGGGGGAGGATGGGTTTCAAATAACTTTTTTATTACTAATCAGTATCTAGTTAATTGCAAAAACCGGTAATTGTACAAAAAAAGTCCCTATCTTTACTCCTCACCAATATATTAACTGTTTTGAAGAAAAAATTTTAGAAATACAATGTGCTATACTATAATATTACGATTAATTTATTATATTCAAAAAAGTAGCGTTGATCAAATGTATATTCACAAAAATTCTAAAGAAAATAAAAATTTGAAAAAATAATCTTGTTTTATTTACAAACAAGGTGATGAAACAAGAATATCAGCAGTCATTGTTTCATTGTATCGGTCATTCTATCGACTATAGAACTTACGAAATGATGACTTTAAACGAGAGTCCTGATATTCTTGTTTCATCAACCTGTTTGTCAATAATTAACCTTGTTTAAGAAATTGTCCATACATAGATCATGCGCGTATCGAATCAACTGAAATATATAAACTCCGTATACAGGTGATGAAGGTATATTGCTGCATAAGTAAGGGAAGTTGACGATAGAAAAATTAAAGTCATATCACGTTTATCATAGAGCTTGGTTGTTAGATAATCATTAACATCTTTTTCAAGTAAAATATCCAAATATGAAACAGATTTGTCAGACTTTGTGGTGTCTTTTCTCTCAAGCTCACCAGGTTATATCGTATCGACATAAGAATAGAAATTATCATTGTTAATTGACAATACGTCGTCGATATATATAAATGTCGAGTTGAAAGCCACAACTATTGTTTCCTTCTATTCAGTTCCTTTGATCAATATACCACACTTTGGAGTCAATTTTTTTTCAATAAATATGGAACAAAAGCAATGTTATAGCATCAAAAATTCAAACTTCCAAGATTGGAAAGCGAATACATGCATGTAATTCTGCATTTTTTAAAAACTGGAAGGAGAGCATTTGCACTGTCCCTGTGTCGTTAATAGGTCTCAATATCTACGTTGTACATGGTTTTTTTCTCTCTAAATTTATATCTTTAAGAGAAAGGCAACAAGTGTACAAAATCACAGTTTCAAATGCTTTACTTCATAAAAGTTACCGTGTCACCATTGACACACTTGAGACATTGAAGGAAAGATAACTTGTACATGTCAATAAATCTTCATTTCTATTCTTCATTAGAAAGATAGGGACACATATATAGAGCAAAAGGGCTTAAAATATCATCCTTGTAAATCAGTGGAATGATAGGGGCGCTTTAACCTCAGTTGTAATATATACAGTATTTTCTCTCTCTCGACAATTTTGACGTATATAGGATACATCTATATACAGATTTTAAAACCCTCATTACCTATTTAGCCTTTTCTTTAACTTACATATATATGGCATTTTTATTTATTTTCCCCCATAAAACAGCTGCTGATGAAAAGTGAAAATGAAAACCAATAATCATGCAGAAAGACCTAATGGAACAATACAAACTGTGAGCAGAGCAAACACAGACAACTGAAAACGTCAAGTCAGAAGTAGAATCATGTGCCATGAAAGAGTAAATATCCCTACTATGACTGCTCTTTATCCTTGAAGTGAAATTAATGTTCCTGTGCACCATATAACGTACATGTAAATCATTTTATTGAAGAAATAAAAGAAAATAAAGAAAAAGTATACAAAAAATCAGCTACATACGCTCAGAAATGTTTACATTTGCCTCAATGGATTCACCTGTGCTTAGCGCATTACAGTTTTCATTTTACCATTTTTAACAGCATCCAATTAATTGCAGAGACCAGTATTTGTTCATATAAGTCCTGATTCTTGCTCCTCACCAAAACATTAACTGTTGTGAAGAATAAAATTTAGAGGTACTTTGCAACCACATATTCAAAAGGTGGTGTTAATCAAATGTAGATTTTAAAAAAAACTATAAAGAAATATAAAAATTTGAAATAGAAAAGAAAACTTTTAGAAATTAAAAGCGTTAAAAGATATTACTTTTCAACGCCTTTTACAACAAATATACGATGAATTTAATAGCTTTTTGACATCGTTTACAACTATTTTTTTAATACAAAAAAAAATTCAGCTCTTTAATTAATCAAAATAATTGGTTGTATTTGAAGAGTTGGGAGTCAGGTATATGTTGTTGCTATTATTTTCATGGAAAAAAACAATAGTGCTATCAGTTCTTTTTTTTTTAATTCTTCGGAGTTTTTGAAAATTAAATTTAATTTACACCCCTTCTAGGATATGTTTTAACACAGTAGGCCTTGATGCTTTCCTTCACAGTAGTTTAATTTTTTATGAAGGGTAAATGAAGGAGCTGGGTTGAACATTAAATATATCTCTGTTAGGATTTTATGAAGTTTTGGAATCTAGAATGAGAAAAATAAATCAAACTCACTTCCGTTGACTAGAATGTTAAAAATTTTATAAAGTTTAAGCTACATGTGTTACACAGTTTTAGAAAAATATTAATAAATTCACAACATGATTAATAAACTGCAAGGAAGTTTGTGATGTACAAATTCTGTACACACTGTTAATATAAGTAAAATTTCAATAAGATGATAAAATAAAGTTGTTATAATAGTAATGAGACTACAAAGACTATCATCTTACAAGCTCTAGAAGCTTGAGTTATGGCATAATTTTTCTTTTTCTTATATCTCTTTCGCTTTACTGATAACAAAATAGATAGTTCGAATTTTTCCATTTTTAAACTATCTAATGCGATTTCAATAATAAAGTCTATAGATAACAAACAGCAATCAAGCTCAAAATGCCATTGAAACTATTTACAAATAGAGAACAGAGCATCAAGGACCCTTTAGAAAATCAGAAATGGGATCAGGTACCATAGAGGAGTAAGCATCTTCTGCTGACACCCAGCATGTGATCGGGTAAATGGAAAACAAAGTTGACAATCCAGAGTGTAAATCATTGTTATTTAAGGAATGAATTTAATAGCTACCTTGGGGCAGTTTACGCTTTATAAACCGCGAAGCGGTTTATAAAAAAGCGTAAACTGTTAATCCAGTTTATACCGTATAAAATGGGTAGCTATTTTCTCTCCTTATAATTTAATTTTCATCACATTTGATGTAAAAAAAAAAAAAAAAAGATGATTGTTCTAACAAAATGACTTCAATTTGTACAAAATTTGAATATAACATCAGGCGGATTGATACGTTTTTGACGAAAGTCATTATGACGTAGGCAACCCATTTTATACGATATAAAGTAAATTTTTTATCCAATCAAATACAGCGTTACAACCAGAATTAAATTATTGGCCAATTAATAACTATGAAAAACGTCATTCAGCATTCGACTTAATGATATATTGATATATTTATAATGTCCTACTGATTGAGCATCTTAAAGTTTGAGTTCTGATAAACCCATTTGATAATACTTGTTAGACTCTAAGGATGGAGGAGGTGTAAACTCCATTTATGTATTGGTCTAGCTAGATTTTGAGGTCGAAGAAAATGAAATATAATGTATGTGTTTAAAAGCAGAGAAATTGATGCAACCATTCAGTAATCAAATTGGAATAATATTTGCAAGTTATTAGATCCATAGTGTATTTTATGCCATTTGCAGAATCATAAATGATTCATATTTTTTTTAAGACTGACACAGAGTGCACATGCAGTATAGTATACTTTTGTATAGTATTTCTTATTCTTTGATGCCAGGCTTAATAACAAAATAAAACAAACGAAAATAATAATCCACTTAAAAATCTATCGAGACATAGCGTGATCAACGAATTTTCGCATTCCTGATTGCTAATAGCAATTTTCTCCCTCCGGAAAACAGTTGTGTCATTTAAGTTTGGAAGCGTTAATAACAGCCTCTCTTGCTGAAACTGAATGTCAACAATGCATTGTCCATCATTAGAGAATGGAAATCGATGACCGAAGCAAACTTTTCAAATCAATCACTGGCCTCGCAACATCCAAGGATTCGTTTCAAATTCCAGTAGTACAACACGCAAATTTCTCCCTCTGCACACTTTATACTGCGTAAAATAGTCAAATATTCACAAAATATCCAGAATTTATATATAATTAAGATTTTACAATTTTTTTATCCATTGGGTGCTGGTAACCATGATTACTGTTAGAAGTATTGATCTCATGCCTGGCTTTGACATGCGCCGTCTGTGATCTCGGCCTACGCTCGGGCTAAATCTCAGCTAAAGAGAGAGATGTTTGTTTAATGGTGGACCAAATTTTCTCTATATTCTGAAAACATTTATGTAAGTATTAAGAATCGTTTCTATGGTATATTAAGATTTTCTCCAACCGATTTATCTGTGTTTGTTGACAGAGGAATATGATACTTGCACTAAGTATTTATTCTCAATGTATAAACGACTGCAGAGTAATGCCCTCACAGTTATAACTTCTATTTCTATAGAACTCTGATGTAAAGAGAAAATACTTTGATTGTTTAAAAATCTAATTTAAGTCAATGTAAGTTGGAAACAAAATATGGAAACTCTATAAAACTTAGAATTCAACATTTTTTTTTATTTATTTTACTTTTTGTTTTTTAGTTTTTATTTAATTTCGTTTGATTCCTAAATTTAGTTGATCAATTCCTCTACATTTAAAACAGTATGCTCAGGAATTAATATTCAGCATAGAAGCCTCATTGTAAACCCTCTATTTGATCTTGTCAAGCTTTTAACATCGCTCTGTTGCTGTGATCGACATGAACTACGTTAACTCGTGTAACTGGAATTGTCTGCAAGCTTTTAACCAATTAACCCTTGCCTTTGAAAACTAAGGGATTTTATTTGTACTTTTCTGAAATAGAGAAGTGAAAGATAAAAGTTTCTTTTACACAAAAAGGGGGAAATTTTGGTAATAGTTGAAATATCATATTTTGCTATATCATGCAATGAAAAATATATATATTAACATATACATAATGTTTTGTCCTTCTATTTTACGAAAATCGGGCCAAACCAGTAACATGCATGAAGACAATTTTTCAACTCTTTTCAAAGATAGGTATTCAAAGGTTGATAAATCATCCAAGAATGATGTAAGCAAATTTTGTAAAATGTGTCATTGACCATTCCCCTATTACTTCTGAAACTATTTCCCTGTCCCTGTACAATTAAGTTAGAGGAGTAAAGCCTGGAGTGAAGATATATATAAAAGTACCTTTCGCACTGACTTACATAAAGGAGAAAGATTCTGTGAGAGAAAGATTTGATTGAGAACCAAAGCGCTGAAGACAATCCACAATTTGACTTTCTCAGTTGTTTGTTACATACATAGCATTGTATTTAGAATGAATAGATCCAGTCAAATGAATTTAAAAAGAAAAAAAATACACCAAAAATCAAATCGTTGGTTCAACTTTTTTTTTCATTTTGTAGAACTAATGGGCATTTACGGGTGAGATGTGTTGAGGTTAGAACTCGTAGGAAGTCTCGAACACTCGACAACTAATGCAATCGCAAATTGCAACTGCATGTACGTGTCTTTCCGACTAGCGGAAAAAAAGGTGTTTTTCCAACCGCTGATGGAAGACCCGAGATGATGAGATTGTAACTCTTGTTGAGTGCGCGAGACTTCCGAGTAGATATTATGATGTAAATTTTGTATTCACTGCCACCCAGTAAGCTTGGGGGAAATGGGAGCAACCCCTGCATACTGTATGCCTCTATCAAGAAGAAAAATGGTAATACACAACCATTCCCCACGATATTTTTTTATATCATTGACAGCTGTTTTTTCAATAAGAACGGAACTCGTAAATTTACTTACCTTGCCATTGGTCAATTGCAAAAATATTTTGGTAAAAACGTTCTGATTGTACACACAAGTACTCCGAAGTCGACATCAAAAGATTGCTTGAGTTTCTGATTCACAATTTCTATGTGGTTTTTGGAGACAAGGTCTTCCCATAGGTACCAATGACGCCCCGTTATTAGCAGACCTATTTTTGTATTCATATGAAGCAGAATTTGTCCTCTTATACGTATAAAGACGAAAACACTTGTCCTGGCCTTCAACCCGACATTTAGATATATCGACGACGAATTGTCAATAAATAGAATATATTTCTTATATAATACAGGATTTTTGCATCCCTGATATGAACACAGGCCTTGTATTACACATCCTGTATCACACCCTTTATTTCACCCTTTATCACACCCTTTATTACACCTTCTCCAATATCAGCCCGAGGGCCGAAGGCCAGAGGGCTGATATTGGTCGAGGGTTGATATGGGGTGTGATGCAGATTTTGCCATGTATTATTCTCTATTTATTACAATGGTAATTTCCATTATCATGTCGATACGATATATCCCGGTGAGCTTGAGATTAAAGATACTGGTACCACAGAGTCTGACACATCTTCATGTTTCATTTTTTTTTTTTTGGATATTTTACTTGAAAAAGGCTTTAATGGTAATCTTACAACCAAACTCTACGATAAATATGACTTCAACTTTTCAATCATCAACTTCCCTTACTTCTGCAGTAATATACCTTCATCACATGCATACACGGAATTTATCTCAGTTGATTCGATACGCAAGAGCATGTTCTACGTCTGAACAATTTCTAAAACGAGGTTAATTTTTGACAAACAAGTTGATGAAACAAGAATATGAGCAGTCTCGTTTAAAGTCATCATTTCGTAAGTTTTATGATCGATACAATGACCATGTCAGCAAATACAATTTATCACTGAGTCAAATGCTGGCTGACGTTTTTCATACTAAATGTTAGTCCATCATTCATGCACTGAATTGACGACGGATTTTTCCGGAGTTCACAGTGGGTGTGACCGGTCGGCAGGGGATGCTCACTCCTCCATCGCACCTGAGCCCACCTCTGATGTTTTGGAGGTCCGTGTTTGCTCTGCTCCTATTTAGTATTGTTTTATGAACTTTTGATCTTGAATACTGCATGTTCGTTATCTCCATATTTTTCATTACAATGTCCTTTCCTTTGCTCTTTTTGACAAAAGTAACCCTTCACCTTTCTTTGATTCGTGCTGACTGAAATAGATTTATTTATCATTATAATTCTATACTGATGAATAATGTATGTAATATGATGTGATAAGAATATTAAAGCCATGCAACCTTGGATGATGTTTCTATCTAAGAGAGTTATTTCTTTCTATTTTCAACCAATCAAACCAATAAAGGTGTATCTGTAGCAATGTCGCTCTAGTGCAACTAGACACCTTGCGTTCTTGCCTAAGTCATGTTCTTTATGTTCTATATAGTCGGTTGTAAAAATCTTTTTTTGATTCAAAAGCTAGCATTATTTCAGAGTCACATTTTCAAATTCAAAATGAATTATTATTTTTCATAAATTTGACTTTTAGCTCGCTTAATATTTGTGATAAAAAATGGTGTCATTAAATATGGATTTAATTATACTTTTTGATTTTGAATCTATTACGGTCATTGTGCTGTTCAGTCTTTCATTTTTTTATGGTCACTGTTAAAAAATACCGAATAGTATATCTAATATAACCAAGGTATTAAACATTTGAATTTCGGTATCTCTAATATCGATATCTGGAATCTCATGGATATATTGAAATGATTTGGATGTCCCCATATACATGTATTCCTTAGTATTTTATTCTTGATATCTCGTATCATCGGATATCCTGAAGCTTCTCGGTCCATTAGAGTTTGAGATAACAATGTTTGACTGTAAATAAATTGACATGACACTAGATAGTCGGAGACTTAGCTGTGTATACCTATATATTGACATGACAGTTAAATGATGGAACTGCTTCATGTGTCAAAGACTGAACAATTAATCAATAAAAATGTCAACATTAATTAATTTGCCATCGTCATCAATTTGAGATAAACCACTGTGAGATTCATGCATCAGAGACCGTGATATAGAATTATTGAACTGCATGGAAAACGTGGGAACCTTTCTCGGGTCAATATAATGTTCTCTCTTAATTGGAAATCAGGAATTTTATATTCCAATTGATTTTTATTGATTAAAGAATCGATGGTATTTCAAGGTATAGAACAGTTACCTTGCCGTGATTTTGTTAATCTGGGTGATTCCTATCGTTCTCTTTCTTTAACGAACCAATATATCGATATTTTTTTTTGTTTCTAAAGCCCAAAAACGCAAATCAAATATTAGTGTTGGTTGAAATTGAATTGTCTCGATCATTGTTTATCTAGGATCAACAATTTTTGCAGATCTTTAAATTTGCAAAGAACATTTTCATTCTGAGTTAAATTCGATGGTAAAAATGCGCATTTCCGATAAATTATAAATTAACTATCAAGGACGAAGAGATTTTTTTTTTGGAAAATTTTTGCTAATTTTAAAAAATTAGTATTTATTGCATATTATTAAAATTTGGGGGAAAAAATCATGCCTAGGAGTATCATTCTTAAAGAACAATCTAAGTGCTGATGGTGTAAAAGACTTGGAAAAATAAATCTAGAACAATGCACAAGAAATATACACTTTTTCAATGGGTGACGCTGTAGCTTTTTAAGTTCCGTAGCTATCTTAACCAACTACATTTTTTTTAACAGGGGATGCTTACTTCTCCTAGGCCCTCTGATCCACCTCTAAAATTTACAGGGGTTCATGTGTTATGCCCTCTTAACATATTTGTATTGTTTATAAATTTTTTGGATGGTTCACTGTTTTTCACCTTTTACATTTCGTTATTATTATTTATTTATTATGTTGAAATAAAATGTGAGAAGAAATTACTAACGAGATAGAAGTTCTTTGTACATGAATCTGTGGTAATCTCTTCCGCGCCTTTGAGTTTCATCAGAATATTAACGTGACCAATATAGTTCTTATCCCAGCTGGCTCTGAGGCCTCGAATAGTTTTTATTAAATCTCTGGGTTAATACGTGATATTGAATACCAAGGCCTACACGGTTTGTACTTGTGAAAATTTCAGAATCATTACTAATTTCTAATTATTGACCCAAGCATCAACTCTAAGGTTCAACAACTGGATATAAATAATTCTGTGAAGAGGCGAAGAGACTATGCAAGCAATGACGTCAATAAGGAAATTTTTCATCATTATTACCATTAATTTTCTAAATGTCATTTTGGTGTAAAATCTGAATGATACTATGTTTTGTTCATCTCTGTACACAGCTACTGGCTGCTCAGAAATTCAAAAATAACCATTTTCCACTAATTTTTTTCGCCGCTCTCGTCATGACAAAAAGCTTTATCTTCCAGATTCCCAGCAGAAACCCTCAAATCAATGGCTTAATTTGTATTTTGATTGCTTCCATGTCGTTTTATTATCAATAACAAAATCAAAACAGCTTTTTCGGTAACATTTCCATAATATCACCAAAATACAAAAGAAAAACTCAGTTGTTGTCTGTTCTTCGGCGACTTTTACTCAGAATGTAGAGATTCTAAATAAACGGATAATCAAGGATCGTGCTATATATGCAGTACGTACATGTTAAAAGTTGAAAGGTGGGTGTATATGCAACCCCCACCCACCCCACCCCAAAAGTATGCTTTTTGAATTCTGCAAAGTCAACTGGTCAAAAGATGGCCCTTTTCATTTAAACGTGTAAAGGGCGCAACAGAATTTATGTTGATGAACATGAAAAACTTTTGAGTACTTAATGTCATGTGGAAAAACAATCTTTTTAATTACCAAAGATTATAATAAATACGCGTTACATTGACCTCATTTATTAGAAATTCCTTCCTATACTTTTATATTATAGTATCCTATGTATATCAATAGTGAAAAGGTACCTGAGAAAAACTGACGTGGTTGTTTAAGAAGTTGGAGGTTTTATATGATAGATTTTAATTCTCAAATCAAAATTCGGTCTCTCAAATCAGAGACGCTCCCATTACTGAAATCAATAGTTGTAGGTATGATATACCAGGGTATTTTACATTTGCCGATATCCATGGTCTTTCAAACAAAAATTATGATAAAATCCCATCACCTTCATAATGCTATTCTATTCCAATATTTCCAACAACAAAAAAGATCTGTAGCTATTTAACATCCAATAATCAATGGAATTATGGTGAAATGTAGGAGGAGGAAATTGATAGTCTTGTGTTAACCACTGTTTGAAATGTAATCTTGTTTTTCCTGTCTTTTCTAGGTCAGTTCCTACGTAAACATAATGTGAGGACCTTTCTTCTTCCTCGGAGACTTTTAGTGGCGTCATGTCCAAGGAGAAAACGGGTCTATGTCAAGACAGCCCTATCTCCCCAAAATACGCCGAGGAAAAACATGATACCGTCTCCACACCCAAAGAAAAGAAAGGAAAAGCGTTTTTCAGTGACGATGTTCTGGGAGAGAAAAAGAGAAGCTGTCCTTACTATTTCGGAGTGAAGTCGTACCTCCATAACTTCTACGACTCGGCGACGTACAAGGACCCAAGCATTTACGAGGAAGACGATGACAACCGTTATCTTCTGAATCCGCATGCGCGACGCCGACGTTGTCGTCCAATATGGTTAAAAGTCTGTATATGGATTGGCGTTAATCTTCTGGTGTTAGGGGTTCTTGCAATTTTGGCGGGATATTTCATTCCGACTAAACCCATTATCAGGAAAGGAGAGAGTGGGGATAATGTGGGTTACGTGGATGAAGATGCCGTGAAATTTAACACTACCCTGGATTTGCTTAAGCTTGCAGGTCTGGTCTTGTTCTGTGTTGGGGGTATTCTTCTAGCTGTGGCTCTGATGTTCCCCACTTTTATGTCCAATATGTGTTCCGATGAGATCGGCGAAGAGGCAATCAGAATCCAAATGGGAGAGGAAAAGCCGCCATTAAGTCCCATTGAGATGACCATTCCTGCTACCTCTAAAGTCAAAAGTGTTCAACCGCCTGGAAGTTCTAAACAGAAAATTCACTTTAAGGAAGATTCGGTGAATTTTAGAGATTGATCAATAAGTGTGTTCCATGAATTCCCATTGGTTGTCAAAATTATATCTCAGAGGGGAGCATTAAGAGATAATTACAGACAAAGATCAGCGTATTGTGTATATGTTCCAAGAAATGCAAAGCATACTTACTCGATGAATTAAACATTGCAGTAAGAATTAAAATAGTTTCTTGTATGTTCAGAAGCTCAAATTAAGAAGATTAATTAGAAGATAAAAAATCCCCATCACTCATACATGTCATAGGATACTTTCATATTTAATCATCGTGTGTGACATAATTAATCACACGTTTAGATCTTTCAAAAGAAAAGAATTCGGTACTTTGTTCGCATAAAATATATTTCCTTGTCTTGAGTTTCTGACACGGGTGCTTGTACATCATTTGTGGTACTTTGCTTCAGTTGATTTGTTGATCATGACTGAATGTGGGGCAAGAGGTCATGACGTCACCAAATCACTGGATGCAATGATACCTACATGTAATGTGCTACTTTCACTCTGACCATTACAAAAAAAAATGGCAGTAAATTAAACAACAATCCTTCAGTTTGAAAATTTAGTCAATTATCAATTAAAGGTGCATGGACACAGATTTGAAGTTTAATATTTTTTGTATAATATTACGACTTATATATTTTAATAGCATTTCACACAAAAATATATTAAAAATCTTATTTCATCTCAAAGTTATTAAAACTTCAAATTTTTAGACGGGTTTGATTTACACATCCTTGCGCTTTCAAAAATTTTAATTTTATTCTTAACACTTATGAAAAGTGGCAATCTTGTTGTTAATAAATGAAAATATTAAAACTATAATCCAGAAAATTCAGAGTAGAAATGTTCGAAAGCAAAACATACACACAGTATATTGTCAGTCCGTGCAGTTGTGGTGAGCAAACTTTAACAATTGAACGCACCCGGTGAATCGTAAACATAAACAATAATTAACAGAGCTCGTGCCCTGTTTACAAAAACTGTGTACGTTTCACGGGTGTGATCAATTTGCTAAACTCTGTACACAACACGTAGCGCGGAATGACGATACTTTGAAGGGGTTTTGCTTTCTAACATTTCTACTCTAAATATAATTATTTTTTCTGGATGAAGGTTTTAATATTTTTCATTAATGCATAACAAGATTGCCACTTTTCCGTAGTATTATTATTAAGATTAAAAGTAAAATTTGTGAGAGTGCTAGGATGTGTAAATCAACCCCCCCCCCAAAAAAAAAAAATTAAGTTTCAATAACTTTAAGATGACATAAAATTTTTAATGTATTTATGTGTGAAATGCTATTAAAATATATAAATAGTGATATTATACAGAAAATATTAACTTCAAATCTGTGCCCATGCACCATTATAAGTGTGGTATTTATTTTCATTTCTACGTACGTTAATTGACCTCGAAATGCAATAGATCACATAGTCTAGCTGACACACCTGTTTCACATTTGGATATTTTGCTAGAAAGGGACATTAAAGGCAACCTATAACAACCAAACCTAATTAATGACAAACATGATGACTTCAACTTTTCTGTTGTCAACTCTCCTTATCTATGAAGCAAATAACATTATGACATTAACGAGTTCATGTCTCCCAGTTGATTATATACACGAGAACATGAAAAATTTCTTTGCTATTGGCAAATAAGTTGCTGAAACAAGACTATCAGCTGCCTTGAAGAGAATCAATGAATTTATTTGCTGATTTTAAGATCCATACATTATCAAATACAGCCTATTGTAAAATCGAATGTTGGGTGACGTTTTTCATGCTTATTCTATATATAGAATTTTGAATATAAATTTTTCTCATCATGTAAGAGAAATCCATTTCCTACTTCACATGTCTCTCAAGTTCGAATTCCGATAATGAGTTCTGTACGTATGTCATTCTCCTTTGTATGATATAGGCATATCCTCTAAACAGCACGATAGAGTTCTTGTCCAGTATAAGTTTAAAAAGCTATGGTCCAATTTATCTAAAGATTTCAGAACAAGTACCTTGCAAGCCTTCTAGTGCTTATTATTAAGCATTAGAATTTCCTTCTCGCTGGCATTCTTTTCCTCTCACTTCAAAATGTCTTGCCTCAAAATTTACTAATATTCATATTCAGGTAGCAAGAGAAGATGCAACATTATTCCTATAATTTACCTTAAAAATTTGGTAAAAAAAAAAACTCGACTTTTTGGTAAATTATAGAGTTATTTTCACTTATCGCCCCCAGTGTGAAACTGTAAATTCTGAAACCTTGTATTGCACGTCTACAGGACACTCCCAACCATATTCCAAAAAATAAATGGTTTACTGCAAATATCTGAGACGAGATTTGGGACACAAGCTTTTGTAAAAAATATAATTATAACCCCAAATGCACCCAGGGAAAAATCGAAATTCCAAATCCTTACTGCACATCTATACAGGGCAATTAAAAAAAATCAAATATATATTCTTTTTTAATTATAAAATAAAACTTAGCTGCACATCTACAAGACACTCCAAATTACATTCTGGTGCAATATACATTGGACTATAGCAAATATTTTATTTTTAAAAAAGTTTTGCTGACAAACGACATTTTTTACATCAATTGCCCCAACGGGTATAAAAAAAATTAATTCTGAAACCTTATTGCATATTCACTGGGCACTCCCGGTGCCAAAAATGTAGAAGGAGTTTGGGGGAAAAGATTTTTCGAATAACCTTTATTTTTGACCCGCATTTAGCCCCGAAGGTGAAGATGAAAATTTCTTTTCTTTTTCGCACATGCTCAAATACTAGTAGTCCGAAACATCTGACATTTTCCAGGCTTTTTTTTTTTTTTACGGTTTTGATATTTTTAAATCGAAATCGAGAAAAAGCCTGAAAAACGTCAGATATTTCGAACTAATGCTCAAAGTACCATGCACTTATCACATTCCAAAAGATGCGCTGGCTACTGCTCAAAATGAAAGGGTAGATTGAGGAAGAAGAAAGCAAGGCAGAAAAGAGAGACAAGCTAGGATGCTACATGTATCCAGATAATAGCCAATAGTTTATTTACAATCAAGGGTCCCCAGAGAGAAAAATACATTAGTAGAGAAAGGCAGTAATCTTTTTTTTCCTTTTTTTTTTTGAAAGTGCAAGTATTAAAAATATCTTAAAGGCAGCATGTGCAAATAAAATCGCATATATCATATTACTTATTCTAGTTCATAAATTGTATTTTATAGATCAAAGACAGAATATTACTATGTCTCTGTACGTATATTGCGCTTAGAGCATTAACTTATTGGTAATATAATGCTTTTTTACGGTTATTGTATTAATAAGTGTATAAATAAAACAATATGTCAGTTGTATGATAGGTCAAAATATATCAGGGATGGATCAAAAGCGTGTGGGCACAAAGCTCTGTATCAAATATTGCACGCACATTATGCCACACAGGGGCGTTTACCCGAGATGAATGCTGGCAGTGTAATTTTGCCGAATAATTGATTTGATTCCAAATATTAACCTTGACGAAGAACAGTAATATAAACTTTCTTTTAAACCAGAAGTCTCTGTCGAGAATGTAGCTCTATTGGTTTGTTTGTATTTATAACAAAGGAGAAAAGATAGCAGATGGTTTGAAGCTTTACAACTGCAATAAATAGAACTACGATGATACCTGATCTAGGTTTTGAAAAATTTGCAATCATGCAGTCTAAAAATGTAGGAACGGCCTTTAAAAGAATTTTACAGAAAATTTTGTTTTAACTAAAACAATACCATGGCATTGAAATCGATTGAAAAATTGTGTATAATAGTCTATTTATGTGGCAAGTTATTTTTCAGACCAAAACTGAAATATTGTTTACAGACGGACGGACAGACAGACGACGAACACATTCCTATCGCATAAGTTCTTCTGGTCTCTGAATAACAGAGCTAAAAAATTGAAAAAACACCTTAAGTGTGTTTATATAAGTAAAATGAATGCTTAACAGTATAGATTTTGACTTTTTACATTAAATTTCATAATAATGGGATTAAAAGTGACAAACATTTGTAGACATGTGGTTGCAGTGGTTAGAATTTTGATCATAGAGAGTTTACAATTTCTTAATATTTAGGAAATTTATTATTGGGATTATTATTTTTTTATCATTTACAATTTTACGAGAACCACAAATATGTCAAAATATTTATCAGTTATGAAACCAGCATTTTGTTGTTTTTAATCAAATTACATCAGAGATAAAAATGACTCAATATAAGTAATAAATGTCTCTAAATAAATGTGTAATTAATGCAGCTTTTGAACACTGATTGAACTAAGTTTTAACAGCTTCTAAACACCCCCAGTCCACAAAGGCTTAATACATGCCTCCCAGGTGTGCAGCTCTTTGTGTTGTTTGTTTACAGATAATGGATTCAATAGCTTCACACACATGGCAGGATTAGGTCATATTACATAACACTTAGTTATATAAGCTCCAACTTTTCATTTATGTAACCATTTTTTTTTTTTTCAAACTATTATGTTTTATGTAATTGTTTGTATCTAAATAAAATGAAAATTATTTTTGAAACATTTTTAAATGACCAACTTTTATGAGCATAACACAATTATATTTAATTTTTTTAAATTAAATTTTCTGTTTGGGCATTATGAAGTATGTGCATTTTTATAAAAATGGAATGAGTCTATAATAAAATTTTACACAGTTTAATAGTATTCATCAACATGATGGATCACAGTTAATAACAAATATATAATATATCACAAAAAGCATAAACATAATATGAAACATTTGTCAAAAACAGAGACAGTTATTTCATAATAAAGACATATAAAATAGACAAAAATAGATAAAGTTTATTTTTAAAATGGATCTTTGAATTAAGGCTTTCAAAAAGGCACATTTCTAAAATATGAGCACTTTAAAGATCAATTTAAATATATTTGACAGCAATAAGTATTTATATCTATATTGTCTCTCAAGTATTGTAAATAAACTAGTGCCAGAATTTTTAGCCATAGAGGAAAATTATACTTAAAAATTTTTTTTCCATGAAATATCTTAAAATTTGAGAGTAACATAGATTCAACTTAAAATACAATATTATATAAAATCATACACAAAACAAGAACAAAACCAGCTTTCAGAAATATTTTCATCAAAGAAAATAGATTTTTAACCAGGAGGACCAAAAGAAAATCAATACAAGCATTTGCCGCTTATGTGGCCTATGAAAGACCCTATAGTAACATACAATGGCAGCTGAGGAAACCTAGGCTGAGGACATGTAAAAGATCTCTGCATTTAGAGTGACTGTTTACACAAAACTGATGGATTTCTTTAGAGGTTGATCCAACAAACTGTTAATTCATTAATTCTCCTGGAATGATGTCCAGAGCTGCATTTGACAACAGACCATTTACCAGACAGCAGAGGGATTATTGGATAACTTCTACTGTCTTGTCTCATTTCTAAACTGTTTATTACATCTTGAAGTTTCACTGAATTGTTGTTTGTGGAATATTTTTAATACTGTTCTTTTTCTGTATTCACTCACATTTTTAAGAAGCCTAAATTTCTTTCCAGTATTATATCCATTTCCCTGCAGCGTTGTATATAAAGGACTGCTTACCCGTCTCCACAGGACGATAGTGAGCTACAAACAGAGAATATACGGTTCAATTTACTCCAGTATTTTACCTATGCACCAGTACTTAATGTATTAAATATCATTTTATTAGAACAGTTTATGACAAACTAGCTTACTGGCTTAAAATTAAGATGAGTTAATTTTTTACTCTTTTTTAATTAAACTGTATAAATAAGAGGAAAATGAAAAATAACAACAACAAAAGGGGGAAAAAATCAAAGATAGCTTGACAAAGTAAAAATCCACAAATTTGCAATTAGAATCCCCCCCACACACACACATGTATACATACATACAAACAAACATATCAATCTTAAATTTACAACAAATGCCGCATTGACTTATATTCATACTACTTAGTCATAAGAAACATTATTAAATTTTCTGACATGAGTTTTGGGAAATCAATAAGTAGCAGCTCTAGAACCTAAAAATCTGACAGTTATCCCAGCTAATCATCAAGAGTAATGATTTCCATCTTCCAAGGAATCCATTCAGAGGATTCAGATCATAACAACCTTGCCCGCTTTAGTAGAGGTTTTACACAACATTTCAATCAAAATAAAATGAAAACATTAATCCTTTTTATTATACCTCTACTGATTTTTCCTATATAAAATTAAGTCATTAGATCTGAACAATTGCCTAGAAATCGCTGTGAATCGGCTAATCCCCGTGCGTTAGTTTTTTTTTTTTAGCTATTCCCTTGGTCGAAAGCTAGTCATGCTAATTCGCGTTTATAGCTTTTCATTGTGACGTCATAATAGAGTGATGCAAAACACAATGCTTCGTGACATATTTCATATAACAAAAGGCTACAAAATAAGACATGAACAACAAACAAAATGCAATGATTGCATTATAATTAGGGAATAACTGTCTTCTAATTTGGTATTTGCGACGAATAATGATTAGTTAATCTGTAAATGATTATTTTTTGAAAGGTGATCTGTACAATTTAAATTTGTATCGGTATAATAGTCTCGGGAAATAAGTCCTGGTCTTGGGGAACTCGAATCTTGCTAACTCTCTCAATGATATACTTTAACTGTATATTATCCACCATGATTTTACTGGCAGGGGGAAACTAAAACAGAACAGACTATGATTCAAACCTAAACTTCCCCCTTCCAAAATCACAAGTCAGAATCTCTACTTCATATGGTTGACCACCATATTCCAACCTCTGTAACAGTTTTTCTCCCTAAGCCTGTAAGATGTCTACTCAGGCTCCTCCCTGGCAAATTTTTTACTTTTATAGCAAGACAATGCACCAAAAACAATTCAACTTCAAAGAAATATCTTGTTTGTTTGTTTTGTATTCTATTTGGGGTACGAGTTCCGGGGTAGGAGGTGTAATGTGATCTAATTTTATTCATATAGGTGTTAATAAAAATTTTAATATTTATTGTAATTAAAACTTGCAGTACACAGTATATATCTGTACGTATTCTACAATATATTTTTAAAAAAAAAATCACTAGAAGTGTTGCATAGAAAATCACCATATTGTACGGAAACTGCTACACAGCAGCTCATAAAAAACATCCTATGAAGACCCTAAGCATACAATATTAAATCAATGGTGTCAATATTAGATTAGCTACAGGGAAATAAAAGAGTTCACAACAAATAAAGACCAATAAATGATTCTGTCATGTTACATTTATCCCAAGGAATTGCTGCTTTCTGTGATGCTTCTGAAGAGCTGATAAATCACTGTTACACATGCTGAAGGCAATAATCTCCTAATGTAGATCTATTGTATCTCATTTATAGAATTTACAGCTTCTAGCAGCATTATTCTTATATTGATTAACTTTTGAACTATGGATCCTTCTTGTACAATTAATATACAAATTCATCCATTTTCAAAATGAAGAATTGATTTTGTTTTTGTCACATTTTGATCAATCAATCGATTCTTTGTTATTCACTTATTCTTTTTTTTTTTTACATAAGTATGCCATTTTAATTTAATACAAAAAAGGTTTAATGGTCAGTAGGGCATAGTATTCAAATCATGCAAAACAAATGAAAATATGAGAAAATATATTTTTAAATCATATGACAGTAAATTCCTGTTTTTAAATCCTCTTCTTTCTCTTGTTAAAATACTATGAGAAATAACTGTCTGACACACCAGGGACATTCAGAGCATTTAATAAGTGTGCAATTTGATACAAGGGCTCAGCAATGCAGAGCATTCTCTCTCAAAAAGAATATCTATAAATCAAGACAGCATGTGATGACAATTCAGCGCAATATACATCTGTTCCTTACAAACAAACACACACACAGTGTTACCATATCCCTCTAACTCTGTTGTTAGGGACTAACAAGCTTCAGATAACACTGACTACCCAATATTTATGTTTTATATTTATATTTACGAACTTAAGACAAAACCTACCTGGACCAGGTAAATCTCCAGCTGTTTGGTTTCCTGTCCATCGACTGGTCGTGGAAACGAAGGCTGAACTAGACATGTAATGTTTGGGTGGACCCTCGTAATCAACCACATCATAATTAGCGGGCCCCGGCTGTGGTGGGGTATCTGGTAAAGGCATGGCAGGGGCTGATATACATAGATAATGCTTCCTCCTGTAGGAAAAACACCAATTAGGAAAAAAAATGCATGAAGCAAGTAATAATCAAGAAATGGTGAAACTAATTAAAAATGATAGCAGTTTCTAAATTTTATTTTTCATGAAGTTATTTAGCTTAAGAAAAATAACCAGGTTTAATAGAAAAATAATTTTTAAAAAACTCTTTTTACACAAAGTGTTACTTACGGGAAAAGTTGTTTTTTAGCTGGATCAACAGCTTCATTTGGTTTATATGCACCAGGGCCAGGAACCTTAAAACATGAGCTTTACATGAAAAATTTCAGATAAAACAAATTATAATTCACATTTTACATCATTAACCATAAGAATTTTTTTAAAAAGTGAAAGTGTTTTCTTGAATAATTTGATACCCATTTAACATGAAAATTCCTTCTAATTTGCATACTTACAGGGGCAGGATCTGGTTGCATTTGTCGTTTTGATCTTGATTTAAAACTTGAGAATGGGATTTTAACATTCTCATGCAGAAGGTGATCTTTTACAGAATACTGCCCTGCAAAGGGAAAAAATATTAAAAAAAAGATGTTTACTACAGCACAGTTTGGTGTCAAAGTTCTCCAAATAGTCAATGATATATATTATTTACTTGTGTTTCATATGAGGGAGAGATTGAATATTTTATTGATTTTTTTCTGTTTACTATATTTCCTCGTTTACCTGGAGCAGGGTTATTGGCGATGTCTTTTATTGTGATAAGTTCTCGTTTGCTCTTTGACTTAAAAGCAGCATCAGCAGTTACATTGTTGGTCTTTCCAATTTGTGCCTTTAGTACCTAGGAAAAATGCATTTCACAGAAACTCATAAAAGAGTTAAGTTAAAAGGGAATGTGTGCATCATAGTTACTTAATCAATGAATTGAATTGAGCATATTTTATTGACAAAGAGTCAAAAGGATTTGACACAAGTTCAATATCTTAGATAGTCTTCTCCTAGTTAATCAATCTACAAAATCTGTATCATTTATTTATAATTTTAAAATATCTTATAGTTACCTCATACTGATTCGGTGCAGGACGTTTTTCTTTTTTCTGTGGTTCTGTTGAGTGTGCAATTGGTCTCTGGAACAATCTTCCTACTTCTGATCGATTAAAATCATTCTGAGTCCTAAGCATGCTTGGCAGACCATAGACCCCAGGGCCAGGGGCACAAGTACCCAGATACTTTAATCCTTTCTTAGACTTTAAATGAAGAAAAAAAAAATATATCACTGTTTGAGAGTTGCTTAAAATATTTATTATTCCACTTAATCTTTTTTTTTTTATTTATTAGCATTTTTTTCAATTAAATGCCAAAAAAATTAATGTAATTAAAGTAAATTTACAATAAAAACTTTAAAATCAAACTTACAATACAAACTCTTTAAAATCAAAATTACAATAATGATTTTTATATAAATTACACACAAATTAAAATTTGCAGTAAATTTCTTCTTTTTCAATCATCATTGATTACCTTTGATGCGAATCCTCCTGTCCCTCTCTTGGAGAATGAAACACTGTTGTTTTCTATAGAAGTGTGTTTTACATAATTGCCAGGACCTGGTGCATCTGTCTGTACAGGTAACAATGTTTTTAATTAGAAAATAAATGTATGATGCACTTGAAAATTGTACACATTTTATTCCTATCTGCTTAAATGTGCATGGGTACAAAATAAAAGAAAGATAATAAATGATGAAAAAAAAAGAAAAGATAAAGAGATAACCAGCTGATATGAAAACTGAGTCTGTTGGATGAAATTTGAATGGTGAGATAAAATCTCTAAACAAAGATGCAAAGCAAACACAACTTATTGGTTATCTTCTAGTTGCAGAAACATTCTGTTACAAGTTTTATAGTGATGAGGTGGTAAAACAAGAAGCTTCTCTTTCACATACCATGGCATAGTCTGATCGGAAACGCTTTGCTTGGGCACTGAATCCTTTCTTGTCACTATTGTCTGTCACGATTGTTTGGTATTTACTAGGTATTGATGCTGTTGCTGCCACAATGCCATGTCCTACAAAAATATCACACAATGACTGCTTAAAATATTTTAAATATATACGTGAAAAACGAAAATTTGACCAATGTCATATTTTTCTATACTGCGGTACATGTATTTTATTTCTGAATATAGAATATCTTTCTAAATATAAAATTCTGACCTTAGTAAATTACATATTGTAAATTTAACTGTCAGACTATTTTATTTTTCGTGAGAATCGATGTGTATCACCCTTGGATTACCGACGATGTGAGACACAATGTGTCATTAAGCATTTTCATGCAAGTCTATTTTTACCCTTGTGTAAATGGCCTGATGTTGTTCTACTATGAATTCTCTTAACATAGTCATCATCCACTACCCGAATACTGTCGGTGGCCGCCATATCTAAACAATGACGAACAACAGCTTTCCGGATCTACGTACGACATAAAATAGTAAAGAATTCAAAGCAAGATAAATATTGTGTTCCGAAGCATATTAAGTCAAGGTAGATTTTTTAATATAACAAGTGCAATTTTATACATATTCAAGGAAAACCTAGATTTAAGAATACCTCTACTAATTGTCTTATGCATGAATATTTCATCGAAAATAGTGCATAGTTGCTAATGAGCTATGGATTCGTCCATTTTGTAGGGGTGTGCGACATGCAGTACATATTTTTCGTAAAGTCAAAAATTGGGAAAAATGACAGTTGTTGTAAAACAGCTTTCATTTCTTATTTTTATATATAAACCGGTTTAAATAATAAAAAAAAAATTGGGGGAAATCTTCTCGAAGAATTCCTTATGCAACGTTCTTTGGATCATTCCATTTTGTCCAATGAAAAACTCCGCCTATTGGATAAACACCTTTTCGCGGTTCTTATAAAACGACTTCCACGATTTGGACGTCACAGGAATCTCATTGTTGCCGCCAAGAGAACTACAGCTGATATTTCAATTTTTTCAAGTAAAGAACAAAGATGTTGTCCAGTCGTTCACCAAGAGCAACCCAAGAAATTACTTCACAGCTGAGAAAAACAAAAATTAACGACGAAAATGAGGTAGGAAATACAGTATTGGCGCTAAAAACTAAAAAACCATGGTTATGAAAAGTTCTCGTTTTTATTGTTCCATTTTGCAGTTTGAAATCAGGAGATACTGTAGATACTTATTTCTTAGTTTAAAAAAAAATCGTAAGCATAATGTTTCTTTGAGATTACAATTTTTGTTGCTGGTTATGTAATCCTATTATGTAGCATTTTGCGAAACAAAGGAACGATTTTTAACTATCTGTATTCAGTAGCAGAGTTAAAATTTCGAATCCAACATTTTGGATTTAATTATCAAAGCGGTACAATTATAAAGTATCTATGAAATGAGTTTGAGCACTTTATAATCCATTATAAATTTGTTTTTCATTGATTCACGCCCTTTTAATCGATTTGGAGGGAAATCGCGCTACATAAGAATTAAAGCGCCAACTTTTTTTTTTTTTTTAAGCATTTCAAAAAGATTAATTAATTAGGACAAACACCTTGTTATTTGTCAGAAGCACCGATTTATCTGAACAGAACAATGTACATTTGCCGGAAGATTTTACTGACAAATATTCCCTCCGAAATCAGATATTGTTGGTTTTTATTGGGCGCATACATTGACCCTGAAGGAGGTCATTTTGTTGCGACGTTTCTCGCGCAAATGTAATTAGGATAAAATAGGCCTAATGAAAATAATTTGAATATTAAATAAATTATATATTTAATGGACAATTTCTTTATGTAATAAACACAGAAAATGCAACTTTTCTTTGAAAATTAAGAAGTAACCTAACTGTAACACTGAAGTATACATCTCAACTACTCTCATTATATTTTCCCCTTTTTTATATAGTATATTTTGGCACATATATGTTATATATAATGATGAAATAAATAAGGATTTATATATTTGGGAAATGGAAAATTTCTTTCCAACACATTTTATGTAATAAACACTAACAAAAACAGAAAATGCAAAACTTTTCTTGTTTATCTTTTTTAATAAGTTAAAAAAATGATCGTAAAGCTAAAAATAAAGCAAATTCTCAAATGTATTAAGTAAAAACGTGGGTTTGTGGGCGTTAAAATACATAAAACATTACAACGTTTCGAAAATACTCGTCTTTTTATTTTCCGTTGCGGTTAGACTCTTGTTTTATAATATTTTCCCCTATATTGAGTTTATATAATATATTGACTTACAGCACATTCTAATTTCATATATGTTTATTTATATATAGTTATTGTAATGAAATAAGTCTGGTATTGTGTTTCATTTAAGACAGTTTATGAAGGAAAAATAAAACATATATTAATACATATAGTCTTTATTCATTCAATGCAACAAATGAAAATAAATTATAAGTTACATAAATTTAATGATGTATAGGTAAATATGGTGAAATTTCTTTGTACTTGCCTAAAATTTTTTTCCTGGAACATGACATTTTACTTTGACAGAGTTGTTCCTAGGAAGGAAATTAGCAGGGTCAATAAAAAGTAGAAGGGGGTCTTTGTTTCCTTTCTTTAATAGGATGTGAGGGGTAGCAGATCTGCAGGTCTCTGCTTGAGAAAATTCAGTCAGATAAAGCAGAGAGCTACAGATCCAATATATATATGCATTGTAAAAACCTTTACTTCACTATTGGTTTGGAAATTCCCCGACTCTTGTTGAAAACTCTGCTTTGAATTGAATATGAATAATGCAGAGACAAGCTAGTAATTTGATAACAGGTGCCTGCCTTGGGACAAGTACTTTTCCAATTAACAAATAAAAATCAAGTATACGGTACTCAACTTTTATTTGTTGATTAAAAACCTAGAGTTAACCCATTAACGTGTCGTTAAAAAATGCAGATGTCATTAAAAAAAAAGGTGTTATCGATGTCGTTGTATGGGAATAAGGACATTTATTGTCAAAATATTAAATTCATACTGTGAATACAGGTATTAAAATTGTTGTTGATTGCTGTTCCATGGCAATCACACAGCCATGATGTCGATCTCATTCTCTTAATCGACATGCAGTAGTGTTCCGTTCACAGATTTGTGTTGTTTGTAGGTTTTATGAGATTGATCAATGTCCGATATATCTTCACCTTAAATATTAATTAAATAAATACAACATTGATATTAACAAAGGTGTATCTTCTAACAGAATTTTTAGAAAGAATACTCCTTAAAATTAAATATTTTCCTCTAAATTTATCTGTGGAAGAATTTCGTGAGTTGGGATCTAGAATGATTTCCGCATAGCTTTTAGGTGTCTCACTCAAGAAATAATTTAATACCAATGCCCCAATTCTGTGTAATTTAAGAAAAAGATGGGACAAGCAAATTTTTTGGTAGGACAAGTAGTTTTACGATAGTAACCTGTTCAAGGGCAAGTACTGAAAAATTCTATTTGTCTACCCCTGCATTTTAAAAAAAAAAAATGTTGCCCCTTCCTTTAAGGTCTTTTGGGGTAAATTGACATATCAATTTCGAATAAATGAGTTTTTTTTAAACTATAGAATCTCTCTTCTTCTTTTTTCCACAAAATCTTACAACTCTTGTGTTTATTTGAACATGTTTTTTTTATTTTAAAAGATTCCTGAAAACCTTAAAAACACAGCACTGAACAACAGAAAAGTACTTGGAGACAGTAATAAGCAAGTAAGTTCGTATGAACATGAAATGTTATTATAGGAAAATAAACATTTATTTCTGTACATTGTATTACCAGATGCAGCACAATCACTACTCCAAACTAAATTTTGCTTAAACAGTTCTGCCTTCAAATAAAGCAAAAGATGCAATCCATTGCTTTGGTAACTCTGATATTGCAATTGTATTTAAATGGAATCACTTGTTTTTTGCAGAACATCATAGAAGTCAAAACAGTTGAGGTGAGGGACATTTTTATACTTCAATATTTATTGAAATTTATTCACTTTCTCTTCTCTTTGCTATGACTTGTAGTTTGTACTTTTGAGGGTTGGTCAACATTTAAAATGTTTCTTAACAGCCAATCAAGAAAATAACAAGAAAACCAAGAAAAGAGGAACCACTGCTTGAAGACAACCCCCGACGATTTGTGGTCTTTCCCATTCAGTACCATGACATTTGGCAGATGTACAAGAAAGCTGAAGCCTCCTTCTGGACGGCAGAGGAAGTTGATCTCTCCAAAGACTTGGTCCACTGGGAAGCCCTAAAGGATGACGAACGTCACTTTATCTCACACGTTCTGGCCTTTTTTGCAGCAAGTGATGGAATCGTCAATGAAAATCTGGTATGTATATTGAAGAATATCTTAAAGCATTAATAATCTGTATATCTTAAAAAGATTGTTTGATTTGAAAATGACATTTGAATTGTAAGAACATTGTTGATAAATGTTTGAAATTTTGCTTCAGGTGGAGAGATTTAGCAAAGAAGTGCAGGCGACAGAGGCAAGGTGCTTTTACGGTTTCCAGATTGCAATGGAGAACATTCACTCTGAAATGTACAGTCTTCTCATTGACACCTACATCAAGGACCCAACAGAAAGGTATTGAGCTTAAAAAAATGTAAATAGTGCTCTATTAAGTCTAAGACCCAAACAGAAAAGTATTTAACTTAAAAATGTAAGTAGTGCTCTGTTTTAAAAGCCTATCTTTAAAAACTTGAGCATTGCCTAACAGCAACTGGCAACTGATTGTACATTACAGCAGTCCTGTTCAGGGGTTCAAAAATCCTCAAGCCCGACGTCCCGGACTAACAACTTCCGGATCCGGACTCGGCATTTAGAATTCGCCAAAGTCCTGGGACTTGGCTATGTTTCTTGTTTATCTTTTTTTATAAGTTAAAAAAATGATCGTAAAGCTAAAAATAAAGCAAATTCTCAAATGTATTAAGTAAAAATGTGGGTTTGTGGGCGTTAACATACCCATAAAACATTACGAACGTTTCGAAAATACAATCCGTCTTTTTATTTTCCGTTGCGGTTAGACTCTTGCTTTTACGCAATTCCGCATGTTTCCTCCTATATGACAAATGGCAATGAGTTTGTTAAATTTCGGTTTTAGCTGTGACTTACAGCACATTTTAATTTCTATTTATTGTAAAAGATGGTTTATTCAGTAGTGAGTATTTGTAAAAGTTATTGTAATGTACCAGTAATCTATCAGTCTGGTATTGTGTTGAAATACTCGTGTATGACTATATGACAGTTTATGGAGGAAAAATAAAACATATATTAATACATATAGTCTTTATTCATTCAATGCAACTAATGAAAATCAATTATAAGTTACATAAATTTAATGATGTATAGGTAAATATGGACTCTGAAATTTCTTCCTCGGACTTGCCTAAAATTTACTCTTCAAGTCCTGGACTTGAAAAAAATTTTGAACCCCTGGTCCTGTTTAACTTTGACTGTTTTAATTTTGGTTCCAGGGACTATCTGTTCAATGCCATAGAAACAATGCCATGTGTCAAGAAGAAGGCTGACTGGGCCCTGAAGTGGATTGGGGATCAGGAAGCTGACTATGGAGAGAGAGTAGTGGCCTTTGCTGCCGTAGAAGGAATTTTCTTCAGTGGAAGCTTTGCTGCCATCTTCTGGTTGAAGAAGCGAGGAATCATGCCAGGACTGACTTTCAGTAATGAGCTCATCAGTAGGGATGAGGTAGGCTTCTTTTTCTTTTTTTTGTAAATTATATAGATATAAAAAAAACTTTGAATTAGATATATGAATTGAAATTCTAAATGAGCTTGCTTTTCAAAATGCAAGATGGAGAATAAACATTACATTAAAAAGAAATTAAAAGGAATTTTATGCATTATTTCATACTTAATGCTGCTTTCCACTGTTCCCAGATAAAATTCAAACTTATGCATTGCTTGTTTTTCAGGGATTACATTGTGACTTTGCCTGCCTGATGTTCAACCATCTTGTAAACCGTCCTTCACAACAAAGAATCTACGACATTATCTGTGATGCTGTAAAAATTGAACAAGAATTCCTCACTGAAGCCCTGCCTTGTAACCTCATTGGAATGAACTGCAAACTCATGAAACAGTACATTGAATTTGTTGCTGATCGACTACTACTTGAGCTGAAATGTGAAAAGGTACTTTCAATGTTGGGCATCTTCATTTTTTTTTTTTCATTTATATGTTTTTATGATTTTTATATATATATATTTTTTGGGGGGGGGGGGAGGGGGGGGGGCATGCTTTTAAATTTTCTTGTTCAATCTTCCTAAAAATTGCAGAACTTGAACAGTTATTTACCTTCCTAATAAAGGTTAATTAACATCATTTTATTTTTAATTACATCATTTTCATAGGTGTTATTGTTAAAAAAAAAAAATGTTTTATTTTCAGGTGTACAATGTTGAAAATCCCTTTGATTTCATGGAACAAATTTCTTTGGAGGGAAAGACAAACTTTTTCGAGAAGCGAGTCGGTGAATACCAGAAAATGGGTGTCATGGGGGGAAATGACTCTTCAAGCCATACATTTACGCTTGATGCAGACTTCTAAAATGCTCAACTGACTCTTGTGCTTATTACCGAAAATCCAATTCATTTTATGATTCATTACAAGAACAACTCATATTTTTTAAGTACCATGCAAATTTTTTTACTGATTTTAGTAATATTTTGATGTGTTCAGTTTAAAAAGTGTTCAAAAACTTTTATTGAATCTTATAGTAAATAGTTTTAATTTATGTGCAATGATTAATTTTTACAAGCATACAAGCATACCTCATGTAAATTTTTATGTTCTGAAAACTTCATTTATCATGTATCATATTTTATTTGTGTGCCATTTTAATTTTTTTTTTTAAAAATGGTGAAGTACAGTTTATTTATAAGTGTGCAAGTGAACCTTAGTGAATGTTTGTTAGTGTTTTATGAATGACTCTAAATAAATGTATTATAAAAATTAATTTTCATAAGTATTTTTTATGGTCATAAACTAATTTTCATAAGTATTTTTTATGGTCATAAACTAATTTTCATAAGTATTTTTTATGGTCATATACACTTATGTATCCCCAAGAACAAAGTTGCAAAGTGGACTTTATTGTTGATAATTTAAATGCCAAAAAATTGATCCCTTGAAAGCACAATGCATATTTTAATTGTGGGACACCATCATGCATGGTAATATATTAATTCTTGAATATTTTCAACTGCAAGAATGTTATATATATGATAATCATACAAGGTTATTACCAACCTATAACTCGAAAGAAAGTGTAGGGTTGTGTACAAGAAAATGGAACTAAGTTGAAGAAAATTTCTTGATGAGGTATCTTAAAGAGTGGAACCCCCACATATGTAAAGCTTGTGCAAGTGATGTACAATGTAGATTATTCATATAGAAACATGTATATCATGGCCCTCAAGGGAAATGTGAGGTCCCAATAAGGGAAGAAACTTTTGTATTTAAAAAAAAATCTTTCATAAATATGAAAGTTTCCTAAGGTTCATTCAAGATTTACTATTAAAGAAAAGATTCTAAAACCTCAAAAATAAAACAAAGCTATTGAATTTTAAGTTGTATTTGTATAGAAGTATCCTCTGTGGAGCAAATTCAATTTTACTCTATATAAATACGAATAATTGTGAAAATGCTTGACTTTAAAAATAGTTCTGATTTTCTTTATCCCCCTCCATAAGAAAGAGGCAGTTCTTGCATCTGTAATGATTTGGTCGTGGATATTGCCCTTAATAGCTCAGTGGGTCGAGTACCTGACTAGTAATACAGGGGTGGCAGGTTTGATTCCTGATCCAGCCATGTTTTCTTCATTCTTTCCTACTACATTTGGTGGCCAGTGTTGGGGGTTTGTTGGGGCCCCGCAAGGATTTGCGGGTGCCCTATAGTAATCACTCTGTCTGTCCGTCTGTCTTTCTTCTGTCCACAAATTTCCTGTTCTTTCCTAATAACTTTTTTTATGGTTGCCCAATTAAGATCAAATTTGGTATGGTAGTTCAATAGGCAGAAAGACATATTTTGATGCTAAGTTTGTTTCTCTATGACCCTTGGTTTGGAGCTGGGGTGGTGGGGTATATTCCTTAACTTTATATAAGAATGCTTTAGCAAAGATAGATAACTCCTGAAGATGTTTCCATTGTAAACTGTATGCTGCTATGAGTCCCTTGGGATTAATTAGCTTTCCTCCTGAAGAAAATCCAAAGCATTATCTTTATCTGTCACATATTGAGATTAATTACCACCTTTGTCTGCAAATGAAGTTTGTTTTGAAGTTCAGTCAATTTGGAATGCTATGAACACTCTGAAATGTGGATTTAGATATATAAATGTTTATACTTTATTTTGGTTAAATACCTACACAATGAGTTATGATTTCATTGAATTCTAAAAACAAGAAATAGATCAAAGAAGACATATCTTTTATTTTTACTTTTTTCCCTTTATGTAAATTCAAGAATAATAATAATTTTTAAGGTAGTTGGATTAAGCCATTCTAATATTAATACTGAAAAAGTTCTTATTGTAACTTTCGAAGAAAGTGATGAGAGAGGTACAATTAATCCCTCAGGATTAATTATCTAGCCTGCTGACGAAAATTTAGTAGGCCTTAATCTTTATCTGTCATTTTAAGATTAATGAAAAACTTTGTCTGCAACTGCTGTTTGTTTTGAAGTTAAGGTCAAGCCTTCATGATACATGTATTTGCAGTGGCGGATGTAGAGGGGGGGCCCAGGGGGCCTGGGCCCCCCCTTTTGAGTCCAAAAAATACAAGATATTTGACAAATCAATGTTTTTTGGTGTGGCTGTGGGCCCCCACCCTGACCTCAAACTGGTCGGGCCCCCCCTTTTCAAAATTTCTGGATCCGCCACTGATTTGCATTCATTGAAGACTGGCATTTTATATAACACAAACACAAACTTCATTATTGTTTATATATACATTCAATGTTAGGTTGTTCTTTACTGCCAGTGCCTAATGTAAATATACAAGGATATTATTTACAGGTTTTTGGATATTCAGGAATTATGTTGAAAATTTTAAGAATACATTTGCTGTTGCTTATTTCTTCATATATTTTTTAATCATTCCATAAGCTGCATCCTTATAATTCCACCCCATGGCGGGGCCCTTGCTGACTGGTCAGTTTTCTAGTTCAGGTTACGATGTATGTGAAAATAAGTAATTCCTGGCAGGGCCTAAGAACTTGTGTCTTTGAGGTCAAAGATTGTTTAAGAAGGAAGGAATGTAGAAGTTTGGGCGTTGGATATTGGGCTAGATAACTCGGTTGGTAGAGCACCTGACTGGAGATTCTGGGGACCTTGATTCAAATTCCGATCTGATCCACTGCATTTTTCTCCTCCCCCAGTACATTTGGTGCTGTGCCTTGCCCTGGAACTGATGGGTGAGAGGCCTGCTAGGGATGAGCCTGATGAATGTGGCAGTCAGCCAGGTTCGATTGCCGGTGACAAGATGGCTCAGTCGGTACAGCAGACTGGGGATTCAAAGGGACAGGGTTCAAATCCCAATCTGGTCCGCTGCAATATTTTCTCGCTCTCCTGTTACCCACCTAATGGTAGTTCTATTTTGCAAATTCAATATCTTGAAAACCAAAAAGTTGACAAACATCAAGTACATGTACAGTATACTGGTACCCTCCTGAAGAGTATGGTACCTTGATTTTAAGGTCACAAGATCAAGAGCCATATACTACTCTTTTTATAGGAAGAATTTTACTATCTTTTCAATATCTGAGAATGCTTTGCTTTACTGTTTAAGGAATAACTCTAATTTTTTGATTTCATGATGTGATCAATTGAGTGGATGGCATGATAATTAGCATAAATGACAGGCGTTTGCATAAAATTATCACACAAGCCAATGGATTGATCATTGACATGAAATCAAAAAATCTGACAATTGTTTATTATACAGTTGAACTTCGGTATCTCAAACTCCGATATCTCAAATGCCATGGATATGTCGTAGTGATATGGAAGTCCCAACCACCTATTCTTTCAGTATTTTACCTTTGATATCCTGAATCCTCAGATATCTCGAAGTTTTTTTCTCAGTCCCATTAGGTTCGAGATAACGAAGTTTGACTGTATTTACATGCTTTTGATTCAGCAAATCCATGTGATACAAGCCCCGCTTCTGTCTCTATTTGTCCCGCCCTGCACGTGATTTTTTTTAAACCATGCCTTATTTATTGATAAACCAGTGCATTCATGAAAAAATAAAGTACATTTATTATTTGTAATTTTACCTCGTACAAAGACATTGGAAATTATTTGAAGTTACATGTATAAGGTCAAGTGTCAAAGTGGACATAAGAAAATATTAATCTTAACTGGATTTTGATCAGGACGTGATCCCTATTGATTTTATCACAAGATCATATGACCAACCTGGACATAATAGTACTATAGTATATTGATAGTTTGGTATCTGAAAGAACCTTTTATCAACATATATATATCAGAATGGGCACTGATAGATGATATCATTATACCCCCCGCTTGAAAAGCGGGAGGGTATATAGTAATCGTTAATTCCGTCCGTCTGTCCGTCCGTCCGTCTGTTACGCTTTAGGACCCATCTCTTATCCGCAACTCCTCTCATACCACTGAATGAAATTTGATGAAACTTTCACAGAATCTTTATTACATATTGCCATTGTGCACCTCCTATTTTACTTTTTGATCCGACACATATTTTGGGTTTTCTGGCCATAGCAAAACATGGACTTTGCCATTAAAACTACTAGTATATGGAGGCGGGGGGGTATCATTTAGTGAGCTCATCGCTCACAGTACCTCTAGTTTTTTGCTTAAAATGAGATTTCTCTTACTATAAAATATTTGAAATCATTGACTATAACTTTTTTAAGAACCATTTTCAAGTGCTTGCAATGGGCCGTGTTTTGAACAAATGTGAATCTAAATTTTGACATGATTTGAACAAACTTTTACACTCAGTGAGGATGCTTCAATATTTCTTTGATTAATTGGTATTTATCTCCCTTTCGAAGGGCAATGCTTTAAATGACCCCAACTTATATATGTTGTTTTATTTACTAGGCCCCTATCTTCCTATGACAAAAGGTGTCACCCTAAATTTTAAGGAAATCTCCATCCAAGAATATAATGATATGTGTAAGTTTGGTTGAAAGTGGCCCTGTTGTTCTCATGGAGTTGAAAATTTAAATTGTTTACCAAAACAACAGACACCTGACAAACTCTGGTAGATTAACTAGAATAAGCTCCCTCAAGTGTGCGATCAGAGACCATCCTTCATGAAGTAATAATATCAGTATGTGAATGCAATTCACAGAACTTTATTTTCAACAGCACATTAACATTATTTTGACCAGAAATATATATCACAATAAATATATGCATTTAAAAACTAGCACTTGCTGGTGGTAGAATTTTATATTCATAGCACACAAACATAGGGAATAAAACAACATTTACATACGTAATATAGTCTGCCCTGGCTGTTACTGGACGTAAATGCAAATTATATTTAGCGATATCATATGGAACAAAAGTCTGAAGAAACAGAAAATGACATGATGATTCACCTTACATAACAGAAAATTATATAAGGTATATGTGATGCAGAGAAATGCTACAAAAGGCAGAGCACTCAATATAAATTCTAGTGATTGGTACATTTGAAAACTGCATTGTCTCAAAAACATACCCCCTGGACTTTGTTGAAAGAGATGCTAGAAAAATTACAAACATTGTCAATTAGCAAAATAAAGTTTTATTTGATCTAGAAGAATTTGTTCTCAAACTGTGACCTTGATCAAATTTCATGAACAATGAATCCCTTTGTAGGGTTGAAAAATAATAGGGATACTTTACTGGTTGGGACAAATGGCCCCATCTACCCAAACTTTAATCAATAGCCCCATCTACCCGAACTTAGATTTCA